TTGAAAGGCGTTTCCAGGCTGTTGTGCGGGGTCTGAGTGACGTTACAGGGGACGCCTGCTCTGGCCTGGACTGGACGATGAGGTTTCATTCACACTCATTCCTTTTGGGAAGCCGCCCTCTGAGTGGAGTTGGAGATGGAACTGGTTTTGTCCTGCTGGGGAAGGCTGTGTAAGGGACGAGAACCCTGACTGCATCTGCCGTTTTTTCCATTTGGAGGGTGGGTGAGTTTCCCAGGGCTGCCCTAACAAATTAATACAAACTGGGTGGCTTAAAACAACAAAAATCTACTTTTTCACAGTTCTGGAGGCCAGATGTCCGAGGTCCAGACGTCATCAGGGCCGCCCTCCCTCCCAGGGGCTAAGGAAGGAGCCTCCTCTCTGCTCCTCCAGCTCTTGCGGTCCAGGCGCCCCTTGGCCTGCGGCTGCGTCACTCCAATCTGCCGTCTTCTTCGCTTGGCCCTCTCCTCTGTGTTTGTGTCTTCTCTTCTGTCTTTTATAAGGACACCTGTCATTGGGTTTAGGGCCCATCTGGGTAAAGGATGATTTCATCTTGAGATCCTTAACTTGATTAACATCTGCAAAGAGTCCTTTTTCAAATAAGAGGTTCCAAGGGTTAGGATGTGAAACATAACGTTTTTGGGGATACTGTTCAACACATGACAGGCATTTTCTGTGTCCTTTTCAGCCCTTAAAATGGGAATAGGAGTTATGCTGGAGGCCAAAGCTCACTTTCCTCTCGGAGGGTGGCTCCCAGGCACAACTGTGCCTAGGGAAGAAATTCTGGAGGACCCAGGAAAGCCAGTTTTTTTGAGAATGTATTGACGGAACCAGGATTTCCATCCCAAAGTGGCCATGAAGAACCAGGACTACTGGCTTTTGTCCATGCATGGATCACCTTGGATTCAGACCCGTCTTAGACCATTATTTGGGAGGTGCTACGGCTAGAGGTGCATGAGTCCCAGGAGCTCATGGCTTAGGGGACATCTCTTCCCTGTCCCCATCCATCATCACAAGAAGAAGGGCCTTAGTTCACAGCTTCTAGCCTGGGATAACTTTAGGCAGGTAGTTAAGGATGCCAGACTTAACGGAGAACTGGAGCAAAGCAAAGAATGTTATGACAGGGTGTCTAGGATTTCAACGAGGATTGATATGCTGACTCTTGGGATATGGGTCACAGAGCAGCAAACAAGAAAAAAAATTATCTGTATATGCTTGTTTGGTCTCTGTACCTAAACCTCATCATGGCAGAGCTGGGGAGGGCTAGAGAGAATAAAATCTCTGCAATTTGATTCTTTTTTTCTATTTTTTTTTTTATTTCGGCATATTATGGGGGAACAGATTTTAAGGTTTCAATAAATGCCCTCCCCCCCACAAGTCTGAGTTTCCAGCATGACCATCCCCCAGATGGTGCACATCTCACTCCTTATGTATATATATATACCCGCCCCCTCCCCCCTCCCACCTGCCCAATACCCTATTACTGTAGTACCTATGTGTCCACTTAGGTGCTACTCAGTTAATACCAGTTTGCTGGAGAATATATCTGGTGCTTGTTTTTCCATTCTTGGGATACTTTTTATTTTTTTATTTTTTGAGACAGAGTCTCACTTTGTTGCCCAGGCTAGAGTGAGTGCCGTGGTGTCAGCCTAGCTCACAGCAATCTCAAACTCCTGGGCTCAAGCAATCCTCCTGCCTCAGCCTCCCGAGTAGCTGGGACTACAGGCATGTGCCACCATGCCCAGCTAATTTTTTTTCTAGATATATTAGTTGGCCAATTAATTTCTTTTTATTTATAGTAGAGATGGGGTCTCGCTCTTGCTCAGGCTGGTTTCGAACTCCTGACCTCGAGCAATCTGCCCGCCTCGGCCTCCCAGAGTTGCTAGGATTACAGGCATGAGCCACCGCGCCCGGTCCAATTTGATTCTTAATATGAAATATTTGGGATAAACTGGCTTCATTTTATCCAGCTCAAGATGAGAAATGTTGCAAGAAATAAAAGGGGAAGGTGTAAAGTACAAGACGAGAAAAATGAAAAGTATATGGTCATATTCCTTGGTGCTTTCTAAACACCGCTAGGAGTAGGTTTCAAGGTTGAAGAGGTTAACGAGCGTTTCTGGTGAAGAAAGTGTGACATTTTGGGAAATCCACGGGTGGGACCTCAGCTTGAGCATTTGTTTCTCTTTGTTATCTTGGGGCCATAAACAAATTGGCCGTCTATCTTCAAAGGTGAGCCCACCGCCACCCCCATAGGTAGCTAGAGAGAACCTTCTGGAGGCTGCTGCTCCGTCCTCCCACAGTGGCCACTCTGAGAACACCTGGGCTGGGGCCCCGGGTTCCTCGCGATGCCCACCTCCCACGGTGGCAGAGGGTAGGGCGAGGCCATGCCAGTGGAGCCGGGCAGACCCCCAGAGGAGAGCACCGCAGGGCTCGTCTCTTTCCCACTGCCGTTGTCTACACTCTTCCGCAGGGATCCAGTTCCCGCCAGATGAGTCTGTTGAGACGCAGATGTTGAGCCTGGGCAGAAAAGGGCTGCTCTCTGCACCGTCCCAGAGAGGCCTGTCTGCCCCTCCCGCAGCGCGGCAAGACTGCCCGAGTGTCCCCAGCGCTGTCTGTCTGTAAGGGGGTGTGGGGCCTGTTAGTGTGCTTCCACTTCCCAGTTCCAAACAGTTTTCCCAAGTAAAAAAAAAAAGAATTTACATTCTGGTTATAAAACTCAAACCTTCTCCTTGTTTGAAAGTTAGAAAATCAAGAAAAGCTGAAAAGAAGAAAATGAAAATCACCTGTCATTTTCAGTTAATGAGAGTTAGTATGTGTTAACAAAGAGCCCTTCATCTGTCTGGGTCTGCCGCCGCTCTAAATCTTCACGCAGATCGGCTCATGTCCCAACTGCCGCATGGTGTAAGGACTGCGATCAGCCTCCTTCTGTGAATGAGGATACACAGTGGGGCTGGAAGGCCGTCCAAGATCACGGTTGGTTGCGGTGTGTGTCCATGTGCGTGTGCACGCACCCACTTTTTCATAGCAGGGTCATGCTCTGCATTTCTGCATCTTGCCTTGTCTTCATTTAACATTGTATCATACACATTTCCCACAATATGACAAATTTTTATTAACCATCATTTTAATGGCTGCATAGTACACCATAATTTATTTACTCTCTTCCCTATTTAGTGAACTGTTAAATCTCTCCCCCTCTCCTTTTTCCTGAATTTTATAAAGTAAGACTGTGATGAACCTCTTTGCACCTAAGCCTCTGTTTGCATTGCTTGTGACTTCGAGAGGACCAGGGCCTCGGAGTGCCATCGGGGTGTCAGTGGGCACAAGCTCTCAGGAGGGTCGTCCCCACTCACCTTCCGCCACATGTGAAGTGCCTCTCCCCATAGATCAGCCAGCGTCACCTGTTGTCATTTCATTTTTGTGAGATAAAATTCACAAAATATAAAATTCATCTTTTTAGCCATTTTCAGTGGTGTTTAGTATAGTCACAATGTCGTGCAACTATCACCTTTAATAATTCCAGAACATTTTCATCATCCCCCAAAAGGAACCCATCACTCCCAGCCCCCTCCTCCTCAGACCCTGCAACCACCAGTCTGCGTTCTCTCTCTCTGTGGATTTGCACATTTCATACCAACGGACTCGTAACATTTGCTTTTTTTTTTCAATGTATGTTCATCTGATGGATGGTATCTACCTCTGAGTTAAGCCAGGGAGATAAACTTTTGTTCATCAATTTGCCCATTTATGTTTATTCTTTGGTGAATGACTTGTTCATGCCCTTTGCCCACATTACTTTTAGCCTTTGTGTTTTCTGTTGATCTACATGAACTCTTTACATATTAAGGTGAATAACTCTTTGACTATCATATTTGCAGCATTTTTTTTTCCTGCCAAAATATTTTGATGTGGATGATAGAGAGCCACCTGTGAAGTGCAAAGAAGCCACACAAGGCAGTGGAGAGGCCGGGGAGTGTGCGGGCAGAGACTGTGGGTGGGAGGGTTTTGCTTGGTGGTGCAACAGGAAGGCTGAATTTTGTTGGAAATGAGCCTCCAGGGGTTTCATTCAGTGCCAGCTAATACGGTCACAGACTCAGCCCCTTGGGCCAGCTCCCCAAATCCGTGCGCAGGCAGCTGCTAGTCAGGGCAGGAGCCAGCCCTGCCTTGGGAAGGAGGAGCACCCTGGAGCGGGGACCTGGGCATCCAGGGGTGTCTTTCTAGACTTGTGCTGGCCTCCTCTTCCCTGGAGAAGGTTAACTTGCCTTTCTCCTCTCCACTGCCCACCCACAGGTTCCGGCGCTTTCCTCCCCCACCAGCCCCCCCCCACCTGCCTCCTGGAAGGCTGTGAGGTGGAACGGTGCTTTGTGGGCACGCCGAGCTTTGTGTGAGCTCCCCGCAGCCTGCAGTTTGCACCCATGCATAGAAGATGGGCCCACAGGTCCAATTTTCAGGAATCGTGTAGCCAAGCAGAGGCCCTTCCTACACAAACAACAACGTAGGAAATTAATGGGGTTCCCGAGAAGAAAATGCAAACGGCAGGAGAGTAAGCAGCCGTGTTACTGAGAATGCACCGTTCCAGGGCGCGGCAGACACAGCCCCAGCCCGACACAGCTGAGTGGGCTCAGCTTCCACTTGGTTGACATAACATCACTCACCCCCTCTGCCCATGAAGGGTTTGGGGATTAAAATGCAACTGTGGCACTTTGGAAACTAAAAGGCATACCCGATTTTATCACTCTGCCGGGTCCAAGCACTGTTTGGGGGCCGTTTCCCCCAGTGAAAGCAGCAACTGCTGACTTCGAGTTCTTAACGGGAGGGGACTTCTTGAAACTGCAGGCAAAATCCTTGTGTGCTTGTGTGTGCGCGTGTGCACGCCTGAGCACGCGCCCTCCTGTGGAGAAAGCCCGCCCCCTTTGTCCTTGGCCCCAGGAAGGCTCAGAGCAGGGTGGCAGGTCACCGTGGGGCAGCGTCCCCAGAGGACTGACGTCGTCTTGTGCTTGCAGTGCTGGTGAAGGGCCAGGTCACCACCAAGTACTACCGGCTGCTGTCCCGGCGGGGCGGCTGGGTGTGGGTGCAGAGCTACGCCACCGTGGTGCACAACAGCCGCTCGTCCCGGCCCCACTGCATCGTGAGTGTCAATTATGTACTCACGTAAGTCACACGTATTTGTTTCTCTCCTTGCTCTCTCCTCCTTCCCTGTCCCACATCGGATCGCTCCGATAAGCACCATTCTCTCTCTCTTTCTCTCTTTCACTGTTCATTTGTCTCCTGTTTTGTTTTTATTTGAACAGTCTGGTCCAAACCTCTGGGATGGTCCAAATGATTTCCATGCTCAGTGGTGGGGGCCAAGCAGCAGGCAGAGGAGGGAACAGGGAAGGGGAGCTTAGGGTGCAGTTCAGGGTCCCTCCCAGAGCCCAGGTGAGGACCCAGGGCAGGTGGGGGTGCCCCCGTCTTCAATAAGGTGCAAAGAGCATGCGCATCCCGGATCAGGAGTACAGACTCATGCTATCCGTGTCCACAGGCATCTGGGTCATCCTGGATGCTCCTGCGGTTTGAGACAGAGGAAACCTCCCCCCATTCTTCCCCTGTCTTCCTATAGAACCTGTTGCAAGTGATGGTGAATAGTTGGCTCCTTTAGAGCCCCAGGAGGTCAAGTTCAGCTGCAATGACTTTTTAGGCCCTTAGACGCAACAGGACAGAAGTCTACCTGGAGCTGTATATTGCTCTCTGCCCACCGTGGCTACTACATATTAAATCTCCTTGCACCCGGCTCTGGCCCTGCACTTGGCCCTGGAAGTTCTCCCAGCCCCACCCTGAAAAGGGTCCTCACTCTCCTTCTAAATGCAGTGAGGATCTGGGCTCTAGGTTCTTTCATAGAACGACAGCCAGGTTCTTAGGTGTTTTAGCGGACAAGTGGTTTTTGGCAAAACTGTAAGAGGTTCCTTTTAGCTTCTTATTTATTCTTCCTGAGCAAACCAGTGTGGGCTTTGGGGGCCCTCTCCTTCCGGGGACATGACCATGCTGAGTTGGCTCTTTAGGGTGCAGACGGGCCCCTGACGTGCAAATGGACAAAGCCGGAGGCCGGGCTCGGGACCAGCCTTGCCTTCCGGGTGCTACCAGAGAGCAGCCCGGCCACAGGCACCTTAGATGAGGGGGCACTTGATAAGGGTATTTCTGCCCTTTCCTTTTTGCCTTGGCGAGCTTCCTTGTGGCCCCTGCTGTCCCCAGGGCTTTATGGGATTGGAGAGAGCTGCACGGGCCTCGCTCTACCCTGCCGAGGGACACTAACCTGGCTCAGCATTTCCTGGGGCCACAGGTGGCTTCTATGCCAAGGGAGAGCTGGCCTCTCACGCCCCGTCCACATCCAGCCTCAAGAAGCGACACGCTGGGGCACCAGGGGTGAGCGTGCCCGGGGGTGGTGCCAGGGGAGCCGCTCGGCCTCCCCGCCGGCCGTGACTCGCCCACTCTCGCTTTCCAGGGAGATTGAATACAAGGAACTTCAGTTGTCCCTGGACCAGGTGTCCACTTCCAAGTCCCAGGACTCCTGGAGGACCGCCTTGTCTACCTCACAGGAAACTAGGAAATTAGCTAAACCCAAAAATACGAAGATGAAGACAAAGCTGAGAACAAACCCCTACCCGACACAGGTAAGACACACATGTCGGCACGGGCGGGCTGACGTCGGTCCCGGGGCTGGGGACACCTGCACATGCCAAGGACTGACCAGCTCTGACCGCACAGCAGATCTCCCTGTGGAGTGAGCAGGGTCCCCGGGGTGTCCTGCCTACATGCTGGTGACACAGCTGGGGGGCTGCTATCCAGGGGCCAAATCAAGTCTAGGAAAGAGAAGACTAAACTAGGAAGGCACGTGGCCTGTTAGACCCACGGAAGTGTTTCCATGCCTTTTTAACCACTTGGGTGCGGCGCTCACCGGCCGCAAAACCGTGCCCGCAGCCGGCACTCGCAGCCCGCACGGTGGTGTGTGCTGTGCATTGACGGCGAGTCCGTTTTGCTCTTGTGTGATGAGGAAAGCTTGAAAGCACTGCAAGCTTGTTTCACTTTACAGGCAGCTTTACTTGTAATGTAAATCAGAATAGGTAACATATCCATATATGTTTTCATTTCGTTATTTTTAAATGCTCACAATTTTATTTTGATACATGAAAAATTAGAAAAGTCATATCACGGCTGTCGGCTAAAGTCGCTATGTGCATTTATCTGTGGCTATCGACTATAGTCGACGCTCTTACCGAAGTGGTTAAAAATGAAAACCGTCCCCCTTTTGTTTTTATTTAAAGCAGTTTGTGAGCTCTTGGAAATGGCAAGTGTCCATGTGTGTCTGGTGTGCGGTCAGCTTGGGTGGGTCTCTCTTTCCACCCAGGCGATGGGGGGCTGGGGGGCTGCTTGCCGCGCACCTGTCCCCAGGGACCTCGAGGTGGTGGTCGGGGCAGGGGTGGGCAGCCCTAGGACGGGGTTGGCCCTGTGGGAGCGGATCTTGCGGGGCCCTTGGCAAGCCCTTCATCCACCTTCCTTGCCCCGCAGCAATACAGCTCGTTCCAAATGGACAGACTGGAATGCGGCCAGCTGGGAAACTGGAGGGCCAGTCCCCCCGCAAGCGCCCCGGCTCCCCCAGAACAGCAGCTCCATTCAGAGAGCAGCGAGCTTCTGTACGCGCCGTCCTACGGCCTGCCCTTCTCCTACCACTACGGACACTTCCCCCTGGACTCGCACGTCTTCAGCAGCAAAAAGCCAATGTTGCCGGCCAAGTTCGGGCAGTCCCAAGGATCCCCTTGTGAGGTGGCACGCTTTTTCCTGAGCACGCTGCCAGCCAGCGGCGAATGCCAGTGGCATTACGCCAACCCCCTAGTGCCTAGCAGCCCGTCTCCAGCTAAAAACCTCCCGGAGCCACCGGCGAACACCGCTCGGCACAGTCTCGTGCCAAACTACGAAGGTGGGTCAGGTCCGCACGCAGGGACGCAGGGAGGACTGGGAACAGACGGGGCCCGAGGCAGCGGTGGCAGTGGGTGGCAGATGGAAAAAGAATCCTCAGGCTTTAGGCAAACTTTTCCTTCTTCTGCTTCTAAGCAGGACTTGCTGTGCTCCCCTGCTCTCCGGGCAAGCGCTTCAGGAGAGTGAGAAAGGACACTCTGAATGCCTCAGGGACACTAGCGACAGTATAAAGGGCAAAGGAAAACCAAGTGTTCAGCCTTCATGCCAATCCTGGCCTCATTCACTCCCCAAAAGGAGACAGTGATTTTCAAAAGCAGCTCACATGTGCTGAGAATGCCCCAGCTGCATTTATTTTTACAAGATTACTTTCCACTCCACCCAGAAATGAATACGAGAGACACAGAGTCTACTGGTTTTCTTCCCATGCCAGTTTTCAAAGGGAGGAAATGTATGGAAATTGTGGAAATGTATGGGCTGAGGGACAGAAATGCCACTCACCACCCCAGGGCAGATTACATAAAACCTCTAGGCCTCAGTTTCTTCCTCTGTAAAATGGGATCATAAGCAGTGTGACGTGCCTACTCCAGGGCATGGCACACAGGAGGGGCCTGCCCAGCACGTGCTAGTTCAGCAACAGACACAAATGGCCTTTTTGCCTTCTGCTCCCGGTAGCACGCAAGCAGATGGGCGCTGTGGAGGTGCCATCGAGCTGCCTAGGACACAGGCTCCTGTTTGCTCATTGAACCAACCCCAGGCAGAGGGGGGGTGGGGATTGAGGGTTAGCTACAGGAATGTGACATCAGGGTGACATGCCCCAGAAACGAATTGCACCAGCCCCTACTTAAAGAGGGGCTAAGAAGGGGAGCTCCCAGAATGTTCTTTCTCTCTCAGTAGGGCTCCTCACCTCCTCAGGCTTCTTCCTGCTTTGGATGCAAATCCCAGAAATCTCTTGCTCAGCTCTGTAACACAACTTTAGATACGTTTCTTCTCCAAATCTGAGAAGAGGGATATAGTTCAAGGGAGAAATCTAACCTTGGAGATCGCTAGGACATGTTTTAACTTAGAAAAGACCATCCCAGCGGCCAGGGCCGTGCTGCCCTGCCTTTTGGCCTGTGGCTGTCCCTGGAGTCACCGACTCTCAGATTTGAACCCCCAATACCCATCAGTGCTTTGGGTCCCTCACACAACTAACTAGGGGATTTTTCGAAACATCCAAGGAAAGAAAGACACAAGAAAGAGTTTTGAGACAGCTGGAAACATTATCCACTTGAGATTGGAATTTGAATTATTGCTGTGTGTGTCTGGAAGTTGGCCTATGATATGTCACATAGCGTTTGATTTTTATTGCTATTTTAAAAGTGAAAGAGGTTAATAACCTAACTTGTTCTTCACACACTTGATAAAAAATAGACCAAAGGTGCTAATTGGAGGCAGTCTGTGATCAACTTCCTAATCTTTTTGGTATGAAAGAAAGTCAAAGAGTGTCACATAAAGTTAAAAAAAAAAAAGCCCCAAACAAAAAATACCCCCCAGAATTGGGTAGGGGTCGTTCTTTAATTATGATACAGACCAGGGTGGTGACCACCTGAGGGATAAACAACAATCCGGGCAGACTGGGACCCCCTAACACGAGGGCTCCTGGTGGTCTCCAGACCCCTGCTGCTAATCAATCAGGCAGCCACTAGCCCTGCGTGGCTGTCGAGCATGGACAGTGGCCAGCGCCACGAGATGTGTGAAGTAAGCCCTGCATCTCAAAGGCAGTACCAAAAAAAAAAAAAAAAGAAAAAGAAAAAAAAGGGAAAATGAAATCCCCCATTAATTTAAAATACTGACCACACACTGAAGTAGTATTTTGGACGTGTTGCGTTAAGCGCATTGTTTAACCGGAGTTCCACCTGCTTCTCGTCCCTCCCTACTGTGGCCGCCTGCACGTTTCGGACGGACTGCGGCGGGGAGGGCGGGTCGCGGGTGGCCGAGGGGTGGTGGCCGCGCGCCGCCCTCCCCGCGTGCGAGCGCCCGTCTAACGTGTCGCCTGTCCCCGCAGCGCCCGCCGCCGCCGGCGCGCGCAGGTTCGCCGAGGACAGCGCGCCCCCGCCGCCGCCGCCGAGCTTCCCGAGCTGCGGCCACTACCGCGAGGAGCCCGCGCTGGGCCCGGCCAAGGCCGCCGCGGCCGCCCGGACGGGCGGCTGGCGCTGCGCGCGGCGCCGAGTGCTGCGCGCCGGCGCCGAGCCCGGCGCGCCCGCGCAGCTGCCTTCGTGCTGCCTCAATACCACCGCGTGCTGGCGCGCGCGGCCGCTGGGGCGCCGCGCACGCCGCGCCGGCCTGGCTGCGGCCCCGGCCGCGACGGCGCCCGGCGCGCTGCGGCCCGCCGCCAGCCCGCGCGCCTCGCCGGCCGGCGCGCCGCTGCCGCACTACCTGGGCGCCTCGGTCATCATCACCAACGGCAGGTGACCCGCCCCGCGGGCGGCCCGCACGCAGAAGCCATAGCCCGGCCTCCGGCGCCTGCTCCACGACGTCTGTCCGCGGGCCGGGAGGGCCCGGCTGCGCACGCACCGCCTACGTTAATTTATACAGAGACGACTATTTTAATAGCAGCCCGCAGCCGACTTCCAGAGTTTTACCGCAGATGCCACGACGGGCGCCGGCGCCGAGGGCGGAGAAGGGCCCGCCCGCGCGGCCCGCGCGCTCCCACCAGCGGGTTTCCGAGACCAGCGCTGGGCGCCCCACCCCACGTGCGACCTCACACTGCCCCGTCGTTGGGGGCGCTTGGTTTCCTCACCTTGAAATCAGGCCGAGCGCGTCCTGCCTTGTCCCCGTTCTCGGTAACAGTCCCAAGGTGCGGGGCACGAGCTTCAACTCCGCAAACACCCCCTCCTCTGCGGAGGGAAACCCACCGCACGCGGCAGGACGGCAGGCCGGGAGGAGGAAGCCTGTATCCCCAGCCCTTTTAGATTCGTGGGTAAAGGCAGAATGTGATTATTGTAAGTCCCATGAATAGACAACCAACAACGCCACTGTCTTTAAAAGTCATTCATGAGTCTCAATTTTTTTTTTTTACGTTTAACCCTTTCTTCAATACAAAAATTAACAAGCCAAGACTAAGGAAGGGGGTGAACATGCAAGTTCATGGTGTGTGTGAACATGGGCGTGCTTCACAAGTACGTTAATAAGCTCTTACTTCCCCCTGACCCCTATGAACTCTTGATAACACCAAGAATAGCACCTTCAGAGTATATTGAATAGGCATTAAATGCAAAAAAGTATATATAGCCAGAGATTTTATGAGAATGACCCTGTCAAGCTTAATTACATGGCAAAATCCCTCTGGCCCACACAGATCTGTAATTCACTAGGCTTGTGTTTGCTACAAGTAGTGCTAATAAAGTTAGTTAAATTGCATGTGCAATATGGCAGACTGTCAATGGACTGCACCTTGTGTAAGAAAAACACGCTAAGGGGATGTAATGAAAATGATGTATACATTTAAGCATTTTCTACATAGCAAGGAAACTTCGTGTGAACATGTCATGTAACAGGTAAACAAAATCATAAAGCACCAGTGGTGTTTTAAAAATAAATGTCCACTCATTTTTGTTTTATGTTTTTTGCTTAAAGGTCTCACCATTTAAAAATCTTACCGCAGCTCTGAACTGGACGGGTGCATTGAACCATCTTTCAACTTGCTCCACACTATAAACACTACCTTATTTTGCTGCTTTTTCAAAAATGGTTTATTTTAGGAAACCTTTTCCAAGCTTTCGGAGTGGAAAGAGGTTTTCACACATGTTTTCAGCTCATCATTCTAGAATCAAAGTGCACCTACACCGACTGTTCTCAAAATGTGAACCCATCTTTTGCAAACCTGGACTCATTCCCTATGGAGTGTTAGTTGTCCTTACGGTACAATTTAAAATTTGCAAATTTAGGAACATGTGTCATGCAATAAGGGACTGGATGGTAAGAAGGGATGCACACACCTCTATATTACACTTAGCTATACCTCATCCGCAGCTCTTTTTGTGTGTACACACAAAATAAGCCTAGGGTATTATTGTTTGTTCATGAGTCTCATAATTAATTAAACCATGATTCTTGGAAGGTGTAGGTGTGATTAATAGGAGATATCACCAACATTTTTCAATAAAGTACCACAAAATGCTTTGGTGTCTACCTTGTTATTAACTTTGGGGACTGTACTTAGTAAATACAAATCATGAAGGCAATCAGAGCAGTTTAATAAAAAAGGTCACTGTTGAGAAAAAAGACCCCGTTATAGATATACAAATGATAATGTAAATAGGCTTCACAAAGTGTGTATATGTACTTGAAAAATAAAACGTGTACTAGAGAAAACTTCCTTGTCTAAACAAACATCACAGTTTTCATAGCCTAGAACATGAAGGAAGATTCTTACATAAGCCGGCTTCAATGTAGGGTTAACAGACCAGTTACCATGGCAACCTAATATTGTTACCTCCATCTTTTAAGAGTCTGCAGGTTTAAGCTGGGGATATCGTTTTTCTTGACTTCTGTGAGGCTCTCTGGCAGGGGAAAAAGGAAGAATTTTAATAAATATGCCTCTCTTTCACAAAAAAGAAGAAAAAAAATTGTAGTGGGCCCTAACATGTACCATGTTGACAAAAATGCCAGATCAAATGGATTTGAGAAATAAGCCCAATTCAAGACTGGCCCTCCATGGGGCCTCCCAGGGAAAGGAATTCCTTTATGTTCTTGGAAGCCCTTTTCTAGAAAAGCCATTCCATTCATACCTTTGTAGAGACGTGCACTGGGTGTGAAGGGCAGTGCTGAGGAAATCTGTAAGAGCCTACATATTCTGCCCCCTCTCCCCAACCCCTTTTATCCTTTTAAAAGTCCTATCAGCCCTGCCTTCCTCCTCTCCACCCGAGAGGCTTAGTACGATCAATGGATCCTGTATAAAGTCTACGTAAGTTTTAACTTATTGGAACTGTAAGACAATTAAGGTAGGCTGCGGGAGCTGCCACAGATAAAATGAATAGACATTTTCCAATAAATGCCATAAAATTAGAGTAGCTTGAAATTTCAGTGAATTTGGGTTATCTAAAACGCATTATCCAAGCTGTTCCTAAACTGAAGTATTAATACATAAGGTTAAAATCTTGGAGGAAAAAACTGTTAAGACAAAAAGTCAAGCAGATTTCACAAAAGAATAAATATCCTAAAAGAACAGAATCTAGAAGTTGTTACATTAAATTTATTTCTCACCTCAGTAAAAGGTTTTTTTACTTTTGGGTTTTGTGAACTTTCATTCTTTGGAGTAATAAGATTTCTCTTTTGTATGATGCATAATATGTTTGTCAAAAATACATCAAAAACCAAAAAACACTTGGCTTCTTAATACTTACAAATAAATCCATATTCCATACTATGTAAAACACTTTATTTATTTTGTAAAAACATGTTTAAATATGAATAAAAATACTCCAACCAAAAGTAGTCGCCCATTTTTAAAAATGAAATTTGTATTTAAAACATAAGAAATGAACCCAAACCATATAGAAAGTCTTGAAGTTTATTTTGGTAGACTTGCTTTTTATAGGCATTGGTTTAAAGTGGTTCTTTTCAGAGACATTCTTTGAAAAGCTGAAAATGCAAAGGCTTACGCTTTATTTTTATTTCAGATATGCATAGTAATTACCCAGGAATAAGGATTCTCCATTTTCTGCCTGTTGGGAGCAAACAGATCTAGGGCCGTAAGCCCCTTTTGCACTCTGAACTGTTAGGCGAGGCTGACTTTTCTCCTTGTTCCAAGACTCCAGGGTGAGGGCAGCCTTGCTGTATCTGTCAGGGGTGGAGAGACTTCCAGAGGCTGGGCCCTTCAGCCAGGGTTCCCCTACCCGGGCCTGCGCACCCACCCCTGCCCCACGCCTCAGCCAGGCCCCTGGCTCCCACATCAGGTGCTGCAGTGAAACCCACTGACGATTTTACTTTGGACACAAATCCTTCCTACTTCGACCACCGGAGCCACTGCCTGGGGCTGGGGGTGGGACACAGGAAGCCCAGTGATTGCTGTGTCCTATTTTAGGGGACGCATCCCCAAGAGTCTCCCTCAAAAATCTGCTACCAACCCTGAAGGGAGGATACTGTTTTTTACCTTTTATAAAACACTGCAGATGCTCAACCTACAGCCTCTAACTGGGGGATAATCCAATATTCTAAAAGCACACACCTATCCTGAGTTTAGTGGTCATGTTTTAAAGATTATGCATAAAAAGAAATGCAAAGTTTCCGTTAAGACTTTAAAGCTCCTTGCAATCACTGATTGTGGGGTGCACAAAGGGCCCAAACCCTAGAGACAGGCATTGCAGGGAGATGGGTTCCCTAACACTAACAGCTAAAGGTAAAATGTCTTTATATTCAGCTGTTCTGTATGAAGCAGAATTTGAAGAGTCTTTGGTTCATGTGGAGGCAAAATCAGGTTTATGGAAAATGCAACATCTGCTTCAAGGCTATTTCGTCTCCCCCAAGACAACTGGGTCTCCTGCAGGAGCCAGAGCGGCCTGCTAGAAGCGCAGAGGCAAAGCAGGACGCCCGGAACATCTCCGTATCCTTTGACGTGGCCACACTTCATTAGTTTTAATTTACAGAAAGGAAATTAAATAACATTTTTCCCAAAGCAGAATGTCCAGAATAGAACTTCAGCTTAAAACAAAACGTAGCATGTTTTTCATTAAATAACCCCCCAAAGACATTCAAAAAGTAATGATGGCAGCTCTGAGAGAAGACTTGCCTTATATTACGAAGTTGTAGACATGAAACTTGCATCATTAGCCTGAAGATCTTTGTCCCTGATGATATTTTGCAGACGCCCTCTCAAGGGTGAGTCCATTTTGTATAATAATTTTAGGGTGGTGTGGACTTTTAGTTAAACTTGTCACTAATTCCAAAGAAGCCTTGGGCATTTAGGAGAGAGGAATTTTACTTTTTTAGAAAAATAATTCTAATTGAAGCCTTATTTGCAAAAATTAGTTAAAGTTATGTTTCCAAAAAATACATATTGAGTTGGTGTATTTAACTAAACATGTTATTTTTTTTCTCCCTTCCTATGGGGCTGTCTGTGCCTGGCTAAAGGTAGACAGATTTTACACTGAAAACCACAAGTTGCTGGAATTAGCCTGACTGGGTGAGACCTGGATAAAGATGGTGCTAGTTTACAACGAAGGGATTTTGTTCAATGCTGAAAGCTCCATCAAACTTTCTTTCCACTAATTTCAGTGGGGACTGGCAGGAAGAGAGAAAAGTGGACAAAAATTGTCCTTTTAAGGCTGTAAAGTAATGGGTATGATTCATAAGTTCAACAGAGATAGGAATTACATGGAAAAAGCATGGAGTACATCTGGAAGTAGCAAATGTATATCAAAAGGCTTCCTTTCTTTTGTTCTTCCATGGAGACTTTTAGCGGATCAGATTTTGACTGTCGTCTTCTAATGCTATGTGCGCACGCACACGTGACACGCAGGCACGTGTGCACACGCACACACACTCACATCCTCTTTCTGAACTGACGGTATTCGGCACTGGTAATGTTTTCTTTCTTGGCAACATAAGGAAAAAGTGAACGAAAGACTATGACTTACAAATAAAATGCTGTGGATTCTACATTCTGTGCACTGGCACAGTCTTGCAGGAGTGCTCTGCATTTCAAAGCGAGCCTGAAACTGGCTTTAAAGCTCCAAATCCTCCCTTGCATGTGGTGTGAGAGTGAGCCCTCATCTCCGGCTGTCACAGCCAAACTGTCCATCCACCCCTACGCCCAGGCAGTGCCTAATCAACGCTCGAAGGATCTTGAGCTTGATGCCATCTCTTCACAATGTGCAGTAAATTTAAACTTGGGAAAGGAGAGCTCATAACACAATGTCAAAGTCATTAACTGATTTCCTCTACCAGTCACTGCGACCGTACTGGCTAGAGGTATCTCTACAGGCTTTAGACACTGTTGGCGGACCAGTCGCCACCAGGTGGAGAGTGGCTCTTGGAAGTCTGCTTTCTCTTTTCTCCACTAGCCAAAAAAAATAAAACAATGACTAAGTGCCAATGTATGTTCTTATAGGAAAATCTCTCCCTAGATGCTTATAAACAGTGATACCATCATACCTCTAACTCACCACTGGCCTGGGCCCAAGAGCATTTTTTGATCTTTTTTTTGTTGTTGTTGTTAAATAGTCTAGGGGTAAAGGTCTCCAGGACTGGGAAAATATTAGAATTCTCCCACTGCTGTTTCCACGTAACCCCCACAACCCAGTAAACATAAATCCAAGAGGGGAGAGTGATTTCACACCCATGGGAAGGCTTCCCACCGATCAATCTAAGTTAAATCTTCCGCTGATCAATCCTCCCTCCCAGAGCTTCTTCAAACACCAAACAAAATTATAACAACAAAACCAACCTTAAAAAAAAAATAATTACAAAATTAAAGAGTTAACGAATGAACGGAAGGAGGAAAGACTTCACCTCCACCCTAAGCTGGGTTTCCCGACGGGCCAGGACAGGCGGCCGTGGGGGAGGTAGGATGCTCCAGAGGCGGTTCTGCACTTGGCCGTGACCCAAGGTGGCCCAGAGGCGTCCTGGCCCACTGCGCAAGCGCTGGGCCGGAGTCAGGGCGGCAGGCCCGGGCCCACCTGCCCAGCACCCTGCTACTGCCGCTTAGGGAGGATGAGGTTCCGCAGCATGTCGAAGGAGTTGCCGTCGGGGTGCACAGTCACGACCTCGCCGCCCTCCTGGTGAACCTGCAGGAAGCCGGAGTCGTCCAGGCCCACTATGGACGCCGCGGGGCCCTCGGCACTTCCCAGACGGACCTGCTGACCACTGCAAAGGAAGAACAGCTGCGGTCACTGGGACGCGCACCCCGACGGCTGCGACAATCAGTGGGGCAGTGGCCCACCCGGTGAGGGGACTGGGGGTGCTGGGGAGACGGCTGAGGCTAGTTTCGGTTAAGGCGCAGCCCAGCCTGAGCTCTGGCTTTCTCTGGCCCTGCACGAATTGCTTTAATAACTACTAAAGTAACCAGGTGGTGCAGAGTGAACCGGGAGATTTTTTTCCCACGGCATCAGTCCTCCTGATTCTGATCATCTGCGATGATTACCCACCTCACTTCCTCACGCCTGACACTTTTAACAGAACGCTGTGCAGCTGTCTAGGTTTTTTTTGGCCGAGACTAGGAGAAAAGAGGCTGAGCTGATAAGAAAAGTTTTTTCCTATAAAGTTGGGCAGCACCAACTACAAGTGAAACTCATTCTGATCTACTTCTTTTGAATATTTTCCAAATGGACCCATTAAGTCACATCCTTCTCAGCAGTTTTCAAAGCATAGAATTTCTTCCTTAAATTTTTATTTTGAAGCATTTCAAACCTACTGAAAAGTTGAAAGAATAGTACAATAAATGCCATATTCCCTTCGTTTATTGTCACACTGATGACATTTTCCAGATTTGTTTTCTCTTTGCATGCACATGCACACACACACTGTATTTTTGCTGCATCATTTAAAAATAAGTTGCAAACATCATGACCCTTTATGCTTAAATACTTCAGCATGTATCTCCTAAGAATAAGAATGATCCTCAAGAAGTCTAATCTTGACACGATAACACTAACAAACAGTGTATTGCCCCCTCAGTATCTTTTGTGGCCATTTCTCCAGAATCTAATTATGGGTCACACATTACATTTAGTTTTCATGCCTCTCTAGTCTTCTTTAATCCCAAACAACTCTCCCATCACCTTTTTGTTGTTTGTTTATTTGCAGACACTGACATTTTTGGAGGGTGCGGGCCTGCTGTTATATATTAGGGGTTCTCAAACTTGAGCTGCATGAGAATTCCCTGCAATGTTTGTGAAGACACAGAGTACTGGGCCCTGATCCCAGACTTTTTTACTTAGTGGCCCCAGGTAGAGTGGTGTCTGGGGAATCTCACTTTGAGAACCATGGTTATCTAGAACGTTCCATAATTTAGGTGTCATCTGATTGTGTCTTCATAACCAAACTGATGCTAAACTCCCTGTGCTGTTGCATCCTTCCCACCGCACCCCTCCAGGAGGCACGAGATGCTGCCCCACTGCCCGCAAAGCTACCTTGGTCAAGGTGGTGTCCACCAGGCTTCTCCATCGGAGAGGTAAAAATATAATTACTTGGACCCCAGTGCTCAGTCCCTCGTTTTAAGATACACAACTACTGACTTAACAAAGGAATTTTAAAAGAATGAAGCTGAGCCAGCACTGACCTGTGTACCCAATATTTATAATAAAGGGGAAGAACGCCGCTGGGCCCTTGGTCCTGAAAGGTGTCGATGAGTCTCTCCAGCGTGGTCACGGCTCTAGCGATGAGAAAGTCGGCTCTTAAGGGCTTCAGTTCTGCCTTGTGTTGCTTGTTGTACTCTGCGACGAGGTCATTGATGCATATGGTAGGGTTACTGTTGGTCACATTGAATCCACAGCCTGGACAAAAGCAAACAATTGGAAAAATGAGCATCTCCCCATATTGGTGGCGTCTCACGTTCCTCGCCACCAACTGGAAGAAGTTACAGATTTTACTGTCCATCTCCTGCTTTCCTTGTCCTCATTTCAGATTTATTGTCTCTGGCAACTTAGACAGTGACTTATGTCTTTGTGACCGTCTTCCTTTTCGTCCTTCCTTTATTATCCTTGTTCAAGCTGGGACCATCTCAGCTTTATTGCAAATAAGCAGTTGAAAAAAAGAAAGCTGCATTTGATTCGATTTAATTAAACAGAAGTGATTAATGGACAAACTTCTTAGCGTTGCTTCTGAAATCACACCTCAAGTGTGGTCTCGCCAAGAATGCAGCTCTGTGCTCGGCCCCATATAGAATAAAATCTCTTATTTCTTTTCCTACTTGAGTAACAGGACACATGCTTAAAAACAGAGGATCGCATTGAGGACTTAAGAAGTAAACTCAGGATTCGGAGATTTCAAACCTTGGTCATGGCATGATCCTAGAACACATCTTTTAATAATTTATCCTTGGAAGGCTTTGGTGCTAAGGTTACACCGTTGGCAAGGAGCCAACCCATGTTCAGTGGCTCTTTTACAGGCGCCTAAACCAAGGCTTCAGGAGAGTGAGTGACCAGAGGCGGTGGCTGAATAGGCTTATCTGTGCTGTTACTTAACACCACCCTCCTCTCGGGGGAGGTCAGTTCCTTCAGAGAAGCCCAACCTCAGCGTTCAGCAGGGCCCCAAAGCAGCCTCAGAGAGGTCTCTAAGAAATGGGATACAGCAAGAACTGGGCAGTAAGACTACCGTGTTTCCAGTGCCTCTAACAAAAAAATTCCCCAAATACTCGCCTTAGACAGAATGATGACATGTGCGGTAACAGCATTCTTTGATAAATGTTCTACCATTTTTAGTGTAAAGGGAAGGATCGACTGGCCTCAGATTATTATAAAAAAAAAGACTGGCTATTAAAATACAAAGCAATATAAATTACATTTGGAAAAAACAAGTAACTACAACAACGGGACAGAATTTGCAGTTGTTCGTTTGTTCCTTCATTCAACATATACAATGCCTAAAGCGCCTACTGAATGTAAAGCATTAGATTACTGTATCATGCTGAAAAGAACTGCATTCAGAAAATTAAAATTCCTAGGGAGAACAGCAACACTGACTACCATGAACTTAGGCTGTGTCCTTCCAAGGACCAGAGAGCACCCCTGCTGGCAACTCGGAATCTTTTCCCAAAGACCCCCACACCCTTGGCTTTAAGAATTTAATAAAAGCAATGGATTCTCCCCACGGGAAAATGTTTAACTCCCTGCAGCCGTCCCTGGGCCCTTTGCTATCTGTGGACTCTTACTTAGGAAACTCTACCCCAATTTTTCATTTAAAGATAGGAAACAGAGCTTTGAGGGTTATGAAGCAGCCTGCCCAGAATAATACTGCCAGTCGTTAGCAGAGCTGGGAACACAAGCATTGTATCCTCGGGCTGGTACTTCCAGCACATGGTCACGGGTTTGCTGCCCATTGCTGATTTCTCAACTCCAATGAGGTTCCACCTGACCAGCCTGGAACTTCTTCTTTCGTGACCTGGGAAGACTGAGTTAAGAATATAAGACAACCAGGAGAACTATCTTAGAAATTAACTTTCTTGGTCGGGTGTGGTGGCTCACGCCTATAATCCCAACACTCTGGGAGGCTGAGGCCGGATGACTGCTTGAGGCCGGCAGTTTGAGACCAGCCTGGTTAGCAACATAGGGAGACCCTGTCTCTACAAAAAATAAAACAATTAGCTGGGCACGGTAGTGCATGCCTATAGTCCCAGCTACCTGGGAGGCTGAGGCAGGAAGATTACTTAAGCCCAGGACTTTGAGGTTGCTGTGAGCTATGACGACCACTGCACTCGAGCCAGTGTGGCAGAGCGAGACCCTGTCTCAAAAACAAAAAAAAAAAAAAGAAAAAAAAATTAACTTTCTTTTCTTATTGCAGAATGGTACATGAAATGTTTATTTTCACCATTTCAAATTCTATGACAAGTAGGAGTATGAAAATGCCTGTTTGATTTGCTGTCAATTTCAGTGTCTTCCGCGGTCATAGATAGGAAACGCTAACCCCCTTGAAGCACTGTGAACCGATCTCACCCTCTCTGCACACACAGCGTGCCCCCTAACTACCAGACTCCAAGAAAACGCAATCTCCTGTGATAATCCGCTTCTACCAGTGGAGGCATGCATACGCCATTTTTATTGTTATTGTTTCATTCGTCTAAAAATGCTGGCGAAAAAGTTTTAAAAACTTACCGATAAGTATGTAAAACATCTCTCCCATAAGCGTTGAGTTAACCAGAACCCCGCCGATCTTCATGAGGTCACTGTAATAAATGTCGTTGGGCCACTTCACCCGCAAGTTGATATCCTAAAGGAGAATCTGCACGTTAGCTGAGTAGTCACGGCACACGAGGCAGGGCTGGGGTCACTGCTCGGAAAGGAAGCTAAGAGCAGAAGCCAGGGGAATATGGGCCTCGGCCTCTCTTTTTCAGATGGCAAATCACTTCCCTGGGACCATCCAATGGCAAAGTGCCTCTCAGGGCTCGAAGGTGAGGGACCTAGAGGACATATTCAGCCCCAGCCCCAGCATTCTCTCCCCTCCCCCTACCACCCATCACTGTCTCTACCATCCGGAGCACTTTCTGAAGACGCCCCCACCTTGGGAATCAAGTTCATTATCTCAGTATCAACAATCACTACCACCATGGGGCGCTAGTGTGTGCGGGGGTGGAGGGGGGACGGGGAGAGAGTAACACGCCCAGGGTTCCTTCCCCTTAAGGAGCTCATGCTTGAGAGACAAAGATGCCCCCGAACTAAGCAATGCCATAAAAGGCAGGTAGCAGTGTCTCAGGTGGAGTGCTAGGAAGACGCAGAGGAGGAACTTGTTTTACTGAGTCATTAGAAAAAGCCTCAGAGAACTGCCGACAGTCAACTTGGGGAACGGAAGTGGACTTGTCCCATGGCCCTCCATCCTGCAGGGTGTGGCCTGGGGTTTTTGCCTGTGACCCGGTCACAGCAGAATGGAACAAGAGGGGACTCTGCCTCGAGCTTGGCCACCTAGACCTCCGCCTGAGGCTCTGAAGTTGGGACTCAAACTAGCTTAGACAGAGTGGTAGCCAGAACTTCGAGGTCTCTTAGACCTGGGGCTGGCAGCCAGGCCATGCCTCGTGTGGGTTCAGGAAGCTTGTCTGGATGAAAGGAGAGAGACACACAGTGGAAAAAAAAAAAAACAAGAGGCCAGAGAGTAGCTGATGGCCTCCAAGTCTGACGGGGCTGGTCTTCCCGCACTGTGGGCCAGCACAGCACCGGGCCCTTTCTCAGCTCTAGTCTGCATGTTACACCAAACCCACTTAACAGAGGAAGAAACTGAGGCTTAGAGAGATTACATAGCTTGCTTGAGGTCACACCACTTGGAAGTGGTAGAGCTGGGACTCAAACCCAGGGCTTCCTGACACGGAGCCTAGGGAGCGAGCCCTGTGCTATGCGGCCTGCTGCTTCCACAAGACGCCCTTCTCTCCTTGCGACAGGCCTTCTCAGTCCGTGGCCAGTTAGAGTGCATTTCTGCTCTTCGGAAGCTCACCTGCCCCAGCACAGCAGTCGAGGCTGAGAGGAAAAGTTCAGGGACAGGAGCGACAGAGCAACAGAAGCATCAATGAAATACGGGGTGTCCATAATGACCCTTAACTGATAAGGATCTCCATGTTTCTTTTTTGTCTAGAACAGGGAATTTTCTACTGGGGGACATTTGGAAATACTGGGAAGCATTCTGGTTGTCATGGGGATGCTGCTACACGTCCTCTAAGCCACAGGACAGCCCCTACAACCAAGACGTCAGGGGCCCAAGTATCTACAGGGCCAAGGCGGAGAACTCTCATCTAGCAAACCTGTAGCTTGGAGACCCTGGCCTCTGTCACTGTCCCCAATTCCCTCTCCTCCTCTCTTGCCTTCCCTCGTGCCCCTGGACCCACCATGGTGGCACGAGTTCCCAAAGCCCGGACAAGCCGCTCCACAGCGCGGGCACCAGCTCATTTCTGAGCTGGGCTCTTGCTCAACTTCACATTTTCAGATCTAGTGAGTGAGCGAGGCAGCTTATGAAATTTTGGGTTCTCACGCAAGTAAACAAGAGCATCTCTTCCAAGATGAGGGGGAAGGCCGTGTACCTAGCTTTCATTTTCTCAATCATTTATTCCAATAGCCCCTGCGACCTTCCCTTGTATAAAGCACTATGGTAAGTGCGGTGGGGACCGAAGTAAAAGGAATCCTGCTTCTACAGAGCTGGTCACTTTGCAGGAGATGGAAGCGAAGCACAGGTGTCTCTGCTTCAAAGTCACACGAGGTCACCACCATAAAGGAGGTCTGGACATTTCTAGTGCCGTTACTCAGTTGGAGGAAAAGAGCTGGAAGCAGCTGGAGCACTCGGGGAATGGTATTGGAGCTGAGCCCCACGGGAAGAACAGCATTTCGAGCGCAGAGGAGAGGGCGGGAGCAGGGGTGTGTGGCTGCTCCAGGAGTTGGGGGTCACGGGCAGAAGGAACAGCAGGCACGGGAGCAGGCAGGCCGGGGTGGGCTCCGGAAGGAATGGCGAGTGTCTGGGTGATGCTTCGGGTCTGGGAAGGGGGACGTGATTTGTGTGCTGACGGTGACATCTGGCTAGGGACAAGTTGGAGCCCCAGCGAAGGTCATAAGAAAAGCAAATGCCACACAATTGGGGCCTGTCTCAGCCATCTAGTGGCTGTACAATGTAAGCTGACTCTGCTGTGGGAAAAATAAAATCCAATTCAAAATCACAGTCCTGTCGTACAGGGGAGACTGAGGCAGCCAACTAGGAAACGGGGGAACTTTGGTGGGAGTGTCTTAAGTAGAACGGGACGCAAGTCCCCCGCCCCCTGCACGGCCCAGGCCCTCAAGGAGTGCCCCTAAGTTAGCTGGTGAGGCTGTGAGGTCAAAATCAAAGCCGAGAAAGAATCTAAGCAGACCCATCTAACCTTCCAGGCTCAGTATTTTACTTATTTTCCTAAGACTAATTAATCTGTTGCTAGAGTTAAAAATAGTTACTCTCACAAAGGAATTCTGCATTCACGACTGTGTTCTCTGAGGCCAGTGACAGCTCAGGTGCTGCAGACTGGGCACCTGCAGGTTTGTCAAAGTCTGATTAGCCCCAAACTCACCGGACAAGCAAGGATGCTGGGCGCCCGGTAACAATGTCCACGGTGCTGACGTGACATGACACGGGAAACACGGACTCGAGAAGATCTACACACGGTGGGTATGCGCACGGCCGTGTCAGAGAGGGGGTTAAGGGACAGTTTCCTCATTTAAACAATGACAACAGGACCTCTGAGTCCTCTTTGAGAGTCATACTTTACCGCCCTGCCTCAGGGATCAATACGATCATTTCTTTTCAGCCTGACCTTGGAGCTGTGGGTGGGTGGGAGGGAGGCAGGGGAGGCATCTCCTTTCACGGCCGTTTGGACTTCTTCCAGGAGCATTTAGCAGGGACACATGGAAGAAAAGGCTTTGGTCACTGTTCTCGCTCATCTTTCTGACAACTGATGCCAACACATCCAAAAGTAATAGCAAGGCAGGCACATCTGTCCTAACAGCTGGGGGAAGATGGTCCCAAATGAACCTGGACGTCGAACTCTGCCGAGCCCAGACTGCGGTCCATGGAGGTAGGAAATGAGGAGGTTTCTTTAGGTCCAAAAAAATAACCCTTTTCAACAGGAAACGCAGACGAATAGCTCCTGTCCAGTCCAACAATCAAATCTCATCTACCGGAGCTTCAAACGACAAACAAACAAAACCTCGCCCTTACTAGGATGCGTGAGAAATCCGACAAACTGGATGGAAGTGGACAGTAGCGTGTGGAATGCTGGCCCGGAAACGCATTCCGCAGGCCTGGAGCAGCATCGGCACCTGGCGGCTCGTGGAACTCCAGGAGCGCTTTGCTGCCAGCTTTGCGAGGGGCAGGCTGGGGCTCTGTGGCCACCAGCCATGCAAACCAACGCTGCAAACAAAACCCAGCCAACCCCGCGTGCCTAATAGGGACGGAGAGGGAAATGAAGGCGTCCATACCTGGTACTCGGGGATGGACCTCACAGCTTCCACGACAGCCAGGGACATCAGATGCTGGACAAACGGAATCCGCTGGCCCAGCTGGGATCTCAGGGGGATGGAGATGAGCAGAGTAGAGATGGCGCATCCCACGGGGCTCAGCCACGCGTTCCTTCCCCGGCCTGGAACACAGGCCCCGTTGGGAAACCCGCCGCCTCGCCACGGAGACCGGCGCAGACACAACTAGCAGTGCCAGGGCCGCGCGCTGGAGGGGTGTCTCACTTATTAAATAAGCTGGCGCTTAGTAAAACCCTTGACTATTCGGAGGTTAACTCCATAAAAAGAAAAGCTTTCTAAAATCTGAAGCTCTGTTGCTGGAAAAGTTTCTGACAATTAGCATGACGTTCTGCTTCCGAGAGCATGCCGTTGATGCTTTGATGATTCACGACCGCACAGTGTCTGAACGTGACCGTGAATTTAATTCTCACTGGATGGTCACGAAGGCAAAATAGAGACAGCGGGAAACGGGACCGACTTTATGCTGATCCACGAGGTCCTGGGAGCCACTGTTTAAGTGGCGCTCCCTGCTGTTGTGACGGTCGCACGGCCCGGCAAATATGCCAGCCACCACGGGCTGTGCGCTCCGAATGGAGGGACTGCATGGCGTGTGCACGCTATGATATCTCAACAAAGCTGCTAATAAAAAGAGTGATCCCTGATATTAACTCTGCATTGTTACTTTTCTTAACATTGAGGTTAAGAAAATAAAATAATCAAAATGAGAGGTAGCGTTCATCAACGTTCCTCTGCAATGTCTTTTTATTAGTCTATCTATTGAGACCCACGGCTTTTGAGAAAACGAATTTTTTTTTTGTTTTGTTTAAGAGAAAGAAGTGGGAAACAGTAGATTCCTTATTTCTTTGCTTCTTCTGAGAAAGTCGTGAGAGCCTCTGAGGGTGAAGAGCACATTTGGGTGAGGCTGGTGCCGGCTGGGGATGGCCCGGGCCCCCTCAAGTGCCCCCTGCACAGACACTGGGCAGGCCACCCGTGCAGGGCCAGGCCCCAGATGGTTCTGGGAGGACGTGGCTCTTGCCGCGGGGACCAGCAGGTGGTGTGAGCCCCGAGCTGCGCCCTGCTCCTTTGCGGTCACTCTGTGACTGGGCACTGAGAGGGAGCACCTGCTGCGTACGTGTGAATCCCAGGGCCAGCTGAGGGGGGGGTCTGGCATGTGCAAGGCCCCTCCATGTGACACTGAGCAGAGACACAGAAGGCACCTCACGCAGAACCTTCAGGAAAACAAATGCCTCTAGATTCACAAACTGTGGAGCACAGAACTTACGAGATGTAGGTAACCGAATGTTAAAGCCATCACAGGCCAGTGTCACATGGAGACATCACAATTGGAGACAATGCTCTGATTCTATCTACTAGGGCTAAATCTTCCGATCACCGCTTCCTTCCCTCTTCCTCCGTTCCGGGCAGTTATGAAAACAGAAAGGACTTCTAACCATTGTGTGGTTGATGGCCAGCATACAGGCTCGATGGGCTCTCCGGCCAGGAGAGCCACAGGTTTTAGAAAAGAAAAGTAACAGCAACGATAGCAAAAGATGACTGACCTTTGCCCTGGGTCTGCCGGACTGCGATCGCTATTAATCCCATTTCCTGTGGCATCTCAAACATCAACCTGCGGACAGAGGGAAAGACCAGTCAGCCAGGACAGAAGCAATGCTCAGAGAGAGAGAGAGAGAGAGAGAGAGAGAGACGGTGTCTACACCCATCTGCAAACGTGCCTCAGAGGAAGGCCAACTTCGGGTTTCTACGATCTGTACAAATGGAAAGCCAGGAGGGCAATACCCTCCTTTCTAGTCTCTGAAGTGAGAATGAAAAGGCATGAAAAAAAAATCACCATTTAGTATCAAAAAAAGAGCATGCGGGAGGGGCATGCAGACCCTGAGCTGTTACTCAGTTTACTTAGACTCAGGCTGCCTGTCATCAGAGTAGCCTTTCGGGTTCTCTCTGCCCCCCACTCCCCCACCCTCCCGTGTGTACCTTCTTCAAGTGACACCCAGCAATCCCTGACATTTGTTTCTACTTACGGTGCGTTTTTCTGTTTGAACGCTGGGACACCATTATAACAGAAGTTTCTGATTATTCAGAAAACCAATAGGGTGGCAATAAAGCCGTTTAAAAGATACACTATCCCCTGAGAACTAATTATGATTTAACTATAGTAAATAAATCTACACCTTCTGAGAACTCGAGAGAACCCTGCATCGTTTTAGGCTTCAGTTCTGCTCTTAAAATGGTTCCACGTAAAAGAATACAAACTTCCCTTTGGGGGACAGGTAGCAAAGTGCCCTACGTGTCCCCCAAATGAGTCTGCATTCACGCTTTCCACAAAAGGAAGGGGAAAAATGAAACACACAGACGCCCCACGCTGAGGGTTTCCTCCAAGCCGCGCTGCACACGTTTGGACCCTGAAGTAGGGCAGGGTCCCCCCACGGTCCCGCAGCCGCTGGTCAGACACCGTTCACATGTGCCTGTGTGTCACTGCAGTTTCGAGGGACTCTGCAATATTTTTCTTTTTGAGGGCGGAGAGTGGCAGGGCCAGGGATGGGGAAGAGATGGTATTTTGCATTAATGTAAAGTTTCCAAAAATAAGTCTCCAGGGATCCACAGTGCCCTGCTGCAAGGAGGAGGGCTCTGAGAACCTCATCCTCCTCCCCTCCGGGCTAGAGGGACTGGCTGGAACTTTGCAAATGGCTGGAACTCGGCAAGAGAAAAAAAAATGCACAAAAGCCGAGAAAAACAACACACAGCGTCGTCCTGCGCACTGATGACTCACAGGGCTCTGCCTGCCGGCGTGTGCAGGCCCCGGTTAGGACAGGGGAGCCCAGAAGACCCTCCGCTTGTTAAGAAGACCCCGGGCCGCGAGGGGCAGGGGCTCAGCTGCCCGGACAGCTGTCTTCCACACGGCAGCTGGAAGAGGCCCAGGGCGCTCCCGGCCTGGCCGCCCCTGTGCCAGGCCTACTTCCATCTCACATGAAATACAGCTCCAGAAGTATTTCTCTTGGACACCATGAATAACTCATTGAGATCGAGTGTGCCTATACACCACTGGGCTCCAAGAATAAAGCGTCCTTTTCTTGTGTTGGACCAGCAGAAAATCCTAAGAAGGAGCCTTTGTCTGTGCAGGGAGTTTATATTGTCTTCCAGGAGCCTCTGATTTCCAGAGGGTTCCAGCAGCCCTTTACCTGGGGTCCAGAGGCCCAGGGCTCTGTGAGGGGGCGATCGGGCGGGTTGAGGGGATGATTTAGCACATTGTGAGCAGATTGCAAAAGCTCTGTAAATCACAGGCAATCTAGGATGTTCTTTAAACAAGTAGACAGTAGACAGTCATATGCTCTAGCCACGATGGTGACGGTGGAAAGGGGGTGTGCAGGAAAAAGGTCGGTTCAGAAACCAAACACAGACTTCTAGAACAAAGAGAGATGATTAAGGGAACATATGCACTAAACTGCTAGAGGTTTGGCAGCAGTTAACAGGGCATATTAATGAGAAGAGGGAGTCTGTGCCGAAGGCCAAGAGGAAATTCTGCAAGGAGGGAGACAACAGGGGAAGGAGCTAATGCTTAGCTTGAGACAACTGGAGGCCGCCAGATTTATTTCTGCTATCTCAGATAACTCTGGGGACCAAACCACACGGCCACAGTCAACAAAGAAGCATTTATAAACTTTGTAAATTTTGCATTTCTGAAAATGAAGCTGCTTGTGTTTGCTTTAGCAGAAAAGAGAGACCATATATGCATTTCCATCCTTAGTTGATGATGTCCTTACAAAAGGGGGGGGGGAAGCAAGAGGTTGCATGATTACCTCCCTGCCTCTGTACGTTTTCTTTCCTTGCTGGCAAAGGCTACAGAATAAAAGGTTTTTGTGAGTGGCAGCAGCGTGCATGCGCTGCAGTACCAAAAGGGCACTTGGAGAATAGTGCTGTTTTACGTTCTTGTGTTCTAAGTCTGAAACACGAGGAACCCCTGAAGGGTCATTTTGCAAATGAGGCAGCCTCCTGACCACGTGGTTACTGAATACATCCCCGGACCCCCAACTGTCTCATGGTCATTAAGATTAAGCTTCAATAATTTAAGACTAATCTAGAAGACAGGCCAGTAGGAATTAGTGAAAAATCTGAACAAACTAAATTTTAAATTCAGACTCAGTCCCGCTCACTTTGGGGATCCAAACCTAAGGAAATAAATAGTCCACATTCACTACGGTGACATAAAAGTAACAATTTGGAAATAACTGTTCAATAGGGGAATGGTTAAGTAAATTATTATTATATATATGAATTATTATTATACATTATATACATTATTATATACATTCCAATGACTAATAGAATAATGTATAGTAGTTAAAAATGACAGTTATGAAGACTATGTATTAATAGTAACATGGAAGAAATTTTTGCAATACAATATAAATAAAAAAGCAGGATACAAGAAACTACATATACTTGTATTCCAACTACGTATAATGCAATTCATAGAAAAGGGAGGGAAGGGAGATTTGACAAATTGTTAATGGTGGAATTAACATTCTAATTATTAAAATAATTTTTTCTTTTATTTTAAAACTTTTCTTTAATACGATTGGTTACCTTTTAATTTAAAATTTTGAATTTTTGAATTTTTTTGGAAATACATGTTTTTTACATTTAGATATATTTGTAATTAGCTGTTCATAAATACAGTATTTCCAAGACCAAAAAACTGCTTTAAAAATAACTAAGACAATTAACAATAGTTATTTGCAGTACTCATTTTATTATAATTAATGAGCAAGAGACTATTTGATAGTAACTAGTAAGCAGAAATTCCTAAAACCAGTCTGTTCATATGCAATAACAGCCTTAAAAATTTTAAACTTTTTGAGCCAGTGACTGTACTTCTATAGAACTGAGTACTAAGGAGTATTCAGATAGGGAAACGAAATAAATTCAGGGCAAACTATTCACAAACCATTAATGATACAGTGTGAAAAATCAGAAACAATCCAAACAGTCCATGATTGAGAAATTTTTAAAAAACCACAGCATCCCAAGAAAGAATATCACACAAGCCACACGTGATATGGGCAAATGCTCACCAAGCACTATTACGTGACTTAATCAGGATACAAAATCCTGTGTACAGCATAATTCCAATGAGGCTTTAAAATATACTTTAAAAAACTGTTAGGAAATATACCTGAACATTAGCTGCAATTATCTCAGGAAGAAGAATTATTTGAAAAATATGGAAAAGTACAAAGCAGAAAATAAGTCATCCAGTTAAGTGCCTCCTTCTCATTAAAAGTATATGTTCTTCTAGGATTTTTCTCCTTTAAAAAGATGGACATGCTTGAAGCTCTGACTCAATGGGGGAGGGGGACATGGGCAGTAAGTAATCTTAACACTTGTACCCCCATAATACGCTAAAATAAAAAAAATGTTTTCAATAAAAAAAAGGAAAAAATGCACACAGATATGTTTTTACAAAATATGTTTCTGATAATTAGAAAAGTTTTATTTTAGAGCAATTAAAATGTTGTCATAGATGTATTTGTAATTAACTATTCTTATTATATTGGTAAGTTTTAAAAAAGGAAGGCTTAAAAACAGTATCATAGTATGACTTCCTTTATGTGAGGTGTGTATTTATAAAAGAATACAGGACACATGTAGACAGCAGCTATCTCAGGAAGGGGAAGGTAGAATTACATGATGATTTTAATTTCTTTATATGGTTCTATGTAATCTCCGGGTGGCAAGATTTCAAGTGGTTTTTAGCTCCCTTTTTCTACTTTTCTGAAATTTCCAGTATTTCTATAATCGGAGTGCATTTATTTAATAATCAGGAAAATGCTATTATATTAAGAAAAGATTTATTTAAACCCAACTTTTCTTTTCAGTAGGTTAAGCCCACATCTGCTAGCTCACTAGTTGGTGAAAAAAACCGCCTCTGCAGAAAGACCACAGACTCACATCGAAAGGGCAGCCAGCGCCGGAGGCTTTCCGGGCACACGGAACACGGCATCCCTGGCCGTGCCCGTCCCAGGCTAGTCCCCTGGTGTCTGCGGCTCGCACACGCTGCCTCTGTCTGGAAGCCGTGCCGTGCCTTAAGCTGTGCCTCCCTTTCTTAAAGAGATGTTATATGGAACCTTTCTCTGGAAGAAGGACTCCCTGCCCCCCAGTAAGCCCAGGGCATCGTGCTCTCCAAAGCAGGGGGGGACAAGAGGCAGGCACAAGGCCACAACAGCAGCGACACAGTGCCCATCCCGGGCTGGGCAGCTTCATCAGCTCACGGTTCTTTTCAGTGCAGGCGGGGAGCATGGCCTGCCACTGTCCTGCCTTCCCCCGGTTGTTTTCTTTATCCCCCAATTTTCTCAGTGCAGACTCCCTTTCCCTAGCTTTCAGGGAGATATACGTTCTCAGGCTTCCCATATGTGAAACAGAAACCGAACAAGGCAGCGGGGAGCAGAGGGGGAGAAGGGGACCCAGGCGCCCAGGCACTGAAGGCTCATGGCTTGTTTCTGAGTTTTAGAGACTTTACTGGAAGATGAATTCTCACCGTTCATAACCCTGCTGCCTTCTGCGCAGTTCAAAGGAAGTAGCGCTGTGCTTCGTTCCAGCGCCATTTTCTAC